CCCTCTGACTTTCTTGTCTTTCTTTTTCCTCTTCACTATGCTACAATTTACTCTCGTCTCTAGCTCTGTCTCCCATCCTCTGTACCCTTCCTTCTCCCATAGCTGTCTCCACCTAGGTTGTCTCTGATACAGTCACCTTGTTAACACTTTGAAGCTGTTAAGATCAGAGAACTTGACAAGCTGCAGTGAAATGTGGCAGAGGCCTACTCCTGATTACACAGACTTAAATATAAGACAGCCAATTTGCTCCCGCTTTGACACCCTCAATAAACCAAGGCTTCAGTGCAGCCCACGTTCTGATATCTCCACTAGAAGTGTAAAATCGTGCTTCATAAATGTCTCGCCATTCTACGCTATTATTTTCTTCTGCAGTGTGATTCTGTTATTACATAGTACATTTACTTTTGCTTAAAATCCTGTGAACATTTTAAATTCACAAGGTCGTCAACAGAACAGCGGCCACTTGCAGGTCCTTGCAGATGGTTTTAGTTTCTAAAAAGGAATGTCCTTCCAATACCAAATCACCACTCTGTCATACATTTGCTCAAGCAAGGCGTGTGCTTTAACATACTTTTAATACACAACTCAAAAGAGCTGACTACCAAATAAGAAGGAAAATTTCTGACAGCGCATGTGAGTCATAAGTCACCCCCTTCAGCAGGTTAGCCTACAGTGACAGCAAGACACTTTCTTATAACCCAAAGGTGAACCTGACAGGGCATCAGCAACCTCACTCTCCCCTGAGTCACCCCACAGCCATCCACTGTAAACCCTAATGCGTTCCTAACTACTACTTGCATACAGCTTAACTTAAAGGCAGACACTGGAACATAATATCTGCTATGCTCCGATTACAAATACACATTTTTAGTCAGCAATGAGATGTTACTACTATATTGCTTTGCCGTATGTATGTTGAGAGAGTTATTGTTCATTGTAATCATTCTTTCCATTCAACTAAATTCTTGTTTCTCATATTATTAAATTAACAACCATTTTTTTATTTTAGTATACAGATGGTGGTATTAGTATTGCGTGTTCATTATTTGTTTACTTAAAAAAAAAGCAACTTAATCCTTTAACTTGATCTCCAATCATCATAAAATATTCAGATTCAGTGAGTTAAACTGTAGGCTAAAATTTGAGGTTGTTTTTTTTTTCATATATTTGTTTACAGATTGGTAAATTGGTAACATTAAGTTTGACAAATCGCCTACAGCATTGTTTCTTGTTTAACCGGGGATGTTCAATTGTCACAGGATTAAATGACAACAACTCCCTTCCTATTGTTTATGAACACCAGCATTCATCATCCATTTCACCTCATGCAGTTTCTGTGACTCATGTATCTCGCTCCACCACTCCCCCCCTCTCACAGTTCTTGCCTTACAGTGTTTGAGGTTAGCATAATGACACATGAAGTTAGCAGACCCAAAAGATTCTTTGTAATGTCACACTTTAATTTTTTCATAGCATGGTCCACTGTGGCTCAGGAGATAGAGCGGTTCGATCCCCGGCTCCTCTAATCCATCTCAGTCCTTGGGCAAGACCCTTAACCGCAAGGTGCTCTCAAAGCCACCGGTGTATGAATGGGTGTGAATGCTTACATAGTCCTGATGGGCACCTTGCATGGTAGCTCCTGCCATCAGTGTATGAATGTGTGTGAATGGGTGAATGACATGTAGTGTAAAAAGCGCCTGAGTTGTCGGAAGAAAGGCACTATACAAGTCCATTTACCATTACCGTTTAAGTAACAATATAATAAATGCATATTTGTAAAATGATTTATGCTCCTGCCTCTAAATGTGATTACATTATGTCCTCAAAAAATTTATAAAATCCAGTGGCAATCCATTTTCACTGTTGGCTATAGAAATGTTTTAAACTGCAAACTCTCAATGTCCTGCAGCACAATCCATTCCCGTGGTCGTAGTGTCAAACACTCATAGCTGCATTAGCTGTGTCCTTACTGAGTGTTTGATCATCAAAAGGTAAACTTTGTGTTGAGTATCAATTTAACATTCATGGTTTGTTGATAGTGTTTATACCCTTCTCTCTACTAATACTACTGACCTGGCCAATGAAACTCACACACATCAAGCCCAAACACCCCCTGGCAAAGCAAATCTTCATTTTACTGCATTTACCTTTATTATATTTAAGAAGGGACAATGCACATTAATTAACATGAGCACTAGAGTCCATCATGTAAATGTGCACACACCCATAAACATGAGCACAATAGGAAGCACAGTTAAACAATGACATAACCACTGCTCCAGATACTGATTTGGTGACACAGCTGCAAAATCTAGAGACGCAAGGAGCTCAGAAAGATGCAAATATTTGACCAATGAAGCAGCCATGATTCTTGCCCAGCAGTAGTCGACTTCTCATGGGAATTCGTTAACGGTAGATTTGCACTCCTGGTTATTTTTTGCTAACAGAGTGACGTCCTGGCTCTGACCTTTAGTTTGCTTAGAACAACTTAGCTAAGCGTAGTGTGTGTTTGTTTTTCAAGCTGCCAACTTGAATCACTCCAGTGAGGATAGACTGACAGACGGATGGGTATATCCAGCCTGAGGGAGGAGAAATGGCATCATCCCAGCAAAATGATGAACTCTCTATTTATATATGTGTGCGTGCTTGTGTGTTTGTCCATACAAGAGCAAGCTTGTGTGTATTGCTGGGTGAGCACATGTACAGTAGGTAGGAACCACATGGTGCCAGAATTTGTGCAATTGAATTAACCAATGATGACAACATTTCACACACATTCGAGTCTGCAGAATCTAATTTAGAAATACAGAGAGCGGGTAAGGGAAACATAACCAGTGGCGCATGACTATGGGAACTTTTATTGGATAACTCTCAAGAGTTTGGACCAATGAAACTTATTTTATTATAACTGAAATATTGATACCACCGAAGTATCCGGCAGTATATTTCCTCTGACTGTTCAAGCATTTGTCTTCAGGATGATTCAGAATGGTGAGAAAAGGCAAAAACAGATAGATAAAAAGGGAGGAGAAAATGGATGAGGGAAGCAATATCAAGGCACAGGCTTGCATTATTCCGTGGTTTTACGACAAATACTTAATGAAACCCCGCAAGGGTGATAGAAGCCTGTATTTAATTAAGCCTTTATAAAATATTAACCAGGGAGGCCAGGGCAATTCTCCCTCCCCTGGTCTTCTCAGTAGATTGAACCACAGTTACACTGCATAGACAGCACTGAATTATAATTCCAGATAGAAGGTGAGAGAGCGAGAGAGCGAGAGAGAGAGAGAGAGAGAGAGAGAGAGAGAGAGAGAGAGAGAGAGAGAGAGAGAGGGTCTAGTGCTCACTAAAGAGCCAAAGGGGAGGTTGAGATGGGGGACCAATGCTGCTCCTATTGCTGCCTCTGGAATGTCTTCTAATCACATTAGGGGGGAACTATAGCTCTGATTTATAAGGGCTCTTTTAAGTTCACTTTTCAGCCCCGGCACCTCTATGTCTCTACCTTTAACAATCTTTGAAATGACTTTGATCTCCTAATTTGGGCGTCACATCCTGTGAAGGACACGGTGTGCAGAAAAGGTGTAAATCATCACTAGAACTGTGGTGTCTTTTTTTTTCACGACAACGATGATGGTTGCTCTATAAGGAGCAATGAGAAGGCCTTTAGCTGCAATTGCTATCGGGAATAAGATAAGGGAATGGTCGAAAGGAATGTGCATTCTTTTGGTCACGGCTGATGGCCAAATGTTTTTTTCTGACAACTATCAACTTCACAAACTATTAGTATTCACAGCGGTAAACTAAATAGCAAAATTCCATCCAAAATGTGTGATGTTGTGATCTCTATTTAAAGGTCCACGTACTAGTTTTTATGAACTTTCAAACCAAATCTTGCAGTTTTATCAGTAAATAGTGCAAGCTCAGGTGTCATCAAGTGTTTAATGTCAGTCATGAAAGGGGTCGATGACTTTGACCCCTTTCCAGTCAATGCTTGACTAGTGTGATGTGGGCTTCACAGATATTATATATTATATTATTATATATATTGTGTTGTCTGCTTCCAAATGGTCATAAAATGTAGATTTTATGGTTTGAAAAAGTAATGTGTTGTTTAGTACTTCTTAGCCTTCAAACATACTGCAACTAAATAGTACTTGAATTTAACTGAAATAAATTACCGTAGCTATCAGGGCATTCATGACTGCTGTATTTTAGTAGTATTCAACTACTTCCAAAAAGTAGCTGATTAATTGCAGGAGATCAGTTATCATTTCTGTTCACCCAATAACGATGATCAAGTATCATCATAAAGTCTCAAATACAACCAGTTAATTATTAACTAGTGTAGGTGGGATCCATCTGGGGGTATGTGGAATAACAGAGTCCTTGATTGGCTCTGAGAGGCTAATTACAAATGAGCTGCAATCTGATTGGACTAAAGCTGGAGATAGATAATGCAACTGCTTTCTTGCAGGGATTGCAGGAGTCTTGCCTTCACTAAATAGCCTACTTTAAATTCTGATGATTAAAGTGGGAATATTGTAGAAAAGAATGATTCATACAAATCTATGATAGACAATTGTAGTCGAGCATTCTGACGTACCACCATCTTTATTTCTGTCGGCTGCGCCCCACACTATTCCCTGTTTAACCGTGGATGTACATCAAAGGACAACAACTAACTTCCTATTATTTTTAGAACACCAGCATTCACTTTTCCTTTACACCTCACACAGTATCTGTGGCCTATGCATTACCACTGCTTTATTACTGCACCATGCTAAAACCACAGATGAACGATTAGTCCACAATGATGCAAAGTGTCGACTAAAGGTTTTGACAGCCACTGCAACACTCGTCAGTGTCATCATTTTCCCCAATAAGTTGGTAAAAAGATAATCTTGGTAGCATTACTTTCTGTTTCTGATTAAACGTATTTGCTGTTGCAAAGTAGTATTTTGCAAATATAATTTTGACGTTTATTTTATCTCAATTTACAGATCCATACAGACTCTGACGAAGGAGAGGGGAACATCATGTACACTATCTCTGGAGAAGGGGCGGGCACTATCTTCATCATCGATGAGCAAACGGGAGACATCCATGCCACAGAGAGGCTGGACCGAGAAGAGAAGGCTTTTTACACACTTAGGGCCCGGGCCCGGGACCGGCATTCCGATGACCCTCTGGAATCAGAGTCTGAGTTTGTCATCAAGGTCCAGGACATCAACGACAGTGAGCCCAAGTTCTTGGAGGGTACCTACATTGGCAGTGTGGCAGAGCTGTCCCCCATAGGTAAGGCAAGAAACATTGCAGCCAGACAGGGGCCATCTGGATAGCAGTTTCAAGCATTGAGCTCAGGATGGCCCAAAGGAGCACATACTGAATGAAATCATCAGTTTTACAGCTATTTTCATGATGCATAAGTAGGACCTGTAACATAGTGCTTTGTCCATCTTGGCCCAGGGGAAGCTAGAAAATGCCAAGAGGAGCAATATGCTAAAATTCTCCCCCATTGTCGAGATTGGGGGAAAAAAAGCAGACAGGAGATGGTACTGTAGATGAAAATAAATTTGGAGTCAGTGAATCCATTGTGGATAAGAAAGAAGTAGAATGGTGTCAAGGACATTTGAGGAGGATCCCCACATGCACTGTGTCAGAGCTATGCCCGTAGGTAGGAATAATATGGAAAATGACGGAGAACGAACAGGCACATAGAGAGAGGAGAGGCGAATTGCACTACTCCCAGATGAGCTTTGTGGCTGTGTTCTCTGACACGGGGGGGGTAGGGGGATAAGGGGGAAATAGGAGGGGTGCTCCAGAAGATATAATAGTAAGGGTGCATCATATTTCAAAGAGGCTTTTGACATTGAAACCACAATGCTTTCAATCTTGACAAACATGTTGTTATTGTGAGCAACAGCATTAGCGGCACACCACGGCTGCTTAAAGTTCTCAGCGAAATGAAAAAGACAGGTGAACGAGGGTGTCAGGGGCTTCATTAGCATGGTATTAATGTCACAGGCCCCACTGATGTTTAATAAACATAATTATGTTTAGCTGCCAAGCGATATCACAATACCATGTGTGCTCAGAATGTCGTGTGTGATACTGATTTTTGCATGTGTGTGTGGGTGTGTGTGTGTCTGTGCTATCATGCATATGCAGTAGAGGTGTGGCTGCTTCTTGGGTGAGTGACTCCAGGAGTGGTGCAGAATGGAATGGCTCTTCCCTGTTCAAGCCTGATTGGAATTAATTCCTGCTTCCTCAGCATGAACCAAACCATGGGCATTTCTGCCTACAGTGCTCTCTAAAACTGTGTGTGTGTGTATGTGTGTGTATGTGGGTGTGTGGTTGTGTGTGGGAGGTAGCGAAAGAGGGAGAGAGTGAAAGACATAGCAACTGAAGGGTACCACAAAATAGGAGAGATAAATAGAAATAACCCAGAGATTTAGAAAAAGATGCTAAAGCTTATAGGAAGCAAGAAAGCTATTATCTCCTAAAGAAGGTACATGGAGTCAAAGAGTTCACGCTCAGTTAATGTTAGTTAAAGTAATCTTAATGATCACGACCCTACCACTTTGGCTGCTCCCCCTTGTTCGACCCTGTTGCACCTCAGTCAAATTACGCACTAAGTGAGTGTGCAGTTCATGTTTTAAACATTGTTGTGGAGCGCTGGCACTAATGAGGTAACGGCTACTGCTTAGTCAAGCATTCTTCTACCCTGTCCCTGTTTCTTTTTGTCGCGCTGTTCCACTGTCCAACATCAGCTAGGGCCAGCAGTATTTTTTTGTCATTTCAGTGATAAGGTCACAAGCACAATGACAATAAATGAAAGGATTAAAAAGAAAAGAAAATGAAGCCACCGGACAGACCACGTTGAGCACCACATGTCACCGGCTCCTCGGCTTTTGCTCCTTCCGTGTTTGAAGTATAGCTCAAATAGCTGGAGGATATTATCACTTTAATGTTTTTATTTTTGTCAACAAATTGCAAACCAACAAGACCTACCTTACTAACAAGTATTGCCTTTATAACCGAGGCCTGAGGTTAGCCTTAGGTAGATATATTCCTCTTTGTCGTAGACGTCTGTTGTTGTCCACAAACTAATACATCAGTGAGCAATGCCGTAACCCTGGGTGATTACCATGGGCATGGGCACTGCAGTTTATTTTAGGTCAATTCCACATACGCTGTCCAGCTGCTGAATAATCACCCTCAGCATCAAATGTGTATTAATCCACAGCTAAAAATAATCCCAAACAAATGTACTATTTCAAAAGTTGGAGTAACAATTGCTAAAAACTGTAGTGCCCAGCTGTTGTATGGACATTACTTAACCTTCTCTGAAAATCAAACTATATTTGTGTAACCTATTTTGAATTTACATAATTACAAATGGATTTTGGGCTGAGTTCTGTATGCAGAAGGTTAATCAGAATGAATTGAGAGACGGACACATGCATTGCTGGTTTTAGTCTGAACACGAGGATAATTAAGAAAACCAAAGAAACACCAGCAACTTATTTGCGATATGCCCTTTGAGCGATCTCAACAACATCTACAATTGTTTTCATTTTTTTCCCAACTGTAGGCAGCTCTTCTATTTCTTTTTTGCATTGCCCGACAATACTGTCCGTTAACACCATGCAAGAATGCTGTCATCTTTAATAGTATATATAGACTTGATTTCTTCACCTTTCCTGTGTGAACGTGCAATATACTCAAAACCTTGTAACAATCAGTTATTTTTATGTAATTTTGAAACAGCTCCTGTGAATTGACACCGGGATGCTTTTTATGCCGTATTGGAAGCCGGTTGCAAGCGTCAGCCGCACCAGTGATATGCTCACTGTGCTGTTTTAAGCCCAACCGTACAGAAAACTGCTTTGGAAAACGTGAGGCCACAATAGTAAGAAAGTAATCAGTAGTCTGCTGCCTGAGGCATATTCATTTTTAGTTATCACTCCTGTCATGTACCCCAGTGCCGGTCTCTGTCATAGCTTTGCCACCTCAAACACTCCCTCTTTATGCAGAGGCTTCCTGCCTGCCTGCCTGTCTGTCTGTCTGTCTGTCTGCATGCTTGCTCAGCATCTGCTCCAAAAAATACAATACTTTGTTTGTTTTCAAGGGTTGGTTAACTCTGAAAAAGGAGAAGAGAGGGCAAATAACACACGAGCAGCAAAGATGATGATGATGAAATGTGAGGGCCCGAGCTCTGTGTTGTCCTTTGGAAAATTTGCTGCTAATGAAATTGCAGTCTTAAATCAAATTTGTAGTGCATGGGTGATTGAATGTTGCTTTGAGAACCTTGCATGTCGTTATGCTGGGAAAGAAGAGGGAACATGGATGGAGTCACTGCAGAATGCTAGCTGTGTCCTCTGACTCATGATAAAGACTGTGACAAATTGATTTAATACAATGTCTTGGTAGAGGACATCCTGGACTAAACACAACCAAACAGAAACTGACAAGAAGAAGAAGAAGAAAGAAGAAACCATTTTTATTGTCATATACATATACACATACACGAAATTTGCCTTCTGCATTTGACCCATCCCTGTATATAGGGAGCAGTAGATGCTCCCTATCCCTATGCTCCAGAAGAAGATGGGGCTTAGGGACTACCCATATTAATTACAGCCCTAATAAATATATTTTCTATTTCTTTATTATACAAATTCAAAATATGCGATATGTAGTGTAGTTGGAGCAAGCTGAGACAACAGTGTGGCCCAGAGGTTAAGTGCTTCACTGACATTATGACAGTTTGCTGGCTCACTAATGACCACCAATTGCAGGGTGCATTTTTAAATAGTGTTGCTGAGAGAATTAAAACACATGAATTACATTGTACATAACAGTTCACCAAGATAGGTTCAATGTATTTATTCATTTCAGTACATTTGACTGACTTTTTGCTTTACCTTACTCCCTTTACACGGGCGTATGGGTTTGGTTTCTTCATTGGTGGGGACACATTATTTTCTGCATTCCAGTGAATTCTTCTGCATCAATTTATGGTGGAAATGTCTTCAATCAGGAAAGGTAAACACAGAATTCAGGTATGTTGAGGTGACATTCCAAAATATGACAATATAATGCTATATATCTATATTGCTTTCAAATATGTATTCTCCTGCAGATAATATTTTTCTCATCTCTACTAAGTCAACACATATCTAGGCATGATTTCCTCTTCTCCTCTTTTGTGTGTGTAACACTTTAATTTTTTTATAACTCCCTGGAATTAAGTAGCCCATATGTGTTTCAGCAATATTTCATGTGCAATACTCTGCACATTCAAAACATATCCCATATCAAACAAATATCATATTTGTGTTCTCTGAGATGTCGAGAAAAAAGTTGTAATAAGAGAATAAAGTGTCATAATTAAAAAACAATCTTAGCCTGTAAAACCAAAACTAACATAAATCTGGTCAGGCATGAATCTCACCATGGTGTGGCTTATTGTTAACCTCACCCCTTCCGATAAAGTGCCGGCTAGATCCACTTGTAAATTTCAAACCAGCAGTGGTATTTGTACCTATGTAAACAATAACCATTCCACGAGCAACTTTGATCTCAAATTCCTTAAAAAATAAATAAATCAACTCCACTCAATTTTTCATCAGCACTGCCGGACCATCACATTCTCCACCGTCGGAGTACAAAGGAGAAGGCCGGAGTGTATGCTACTGACACTCAGCTGGTGGTCAAGCTGTGCAGCGAACCACTGCTGATGGAATTATTATTATCGGTTGTACAAATCCAATAGCATTAAACAAAGGCACTACAGAGTGTCAATAATCTTTAGTAATTACTTCTAATATTGTGCTTAGCCTAAATGACCAAGTACGATTTTAGTTTTCATGTAGTTTTTGTGTGTAACATCGCTGCAGTGAACACTCTGGCAGGTGGGGACACCGCGATTCTGCCTTCTCCAGTCACCTCATCTGAGCAGATAGCTACCCTGTTGATAGCTGTCAGTTTCAAGCTGTTTCACGTCATTTATATGCAGAGAGACAGTGGGCTTTTTAGGAAATAATTACCAAGGTCCTCATCGTTGGCTGAGGCAATGTTATCCACACCAGAAGTACATTCCTCTGCTCCTCTCAACAAGCAATTTTGCTCCTCTGTGTGAATATGTGTGACTGTGCACTTTGTCCACTCAAAAGAAAATGAAAAAGAGTTTGTTTAATTGCCTTCTATCAGTTTTATTATTTTACATATTTCAGTGTTTTTCAGGTGCAAAACCTGAGATTGGGAGGCATTTTTATTGCCTCTAAACGGCT